ACCAGACTCGTATTCAGCATTCAATAAGAAACTATAAGAAACGACTAGTCTCGTTCCGGTAAATTTGTTCGTTGAACAGTGTTATCAGATACATCTCTTCGCGAAGAAAATGTGTTTCATCGTGATTTCGAATTCAGATGGCGAGTCTGCGTTGGATCTTAGATTATAATCATTACGGCAACATATTGCGGAGAGGAGGTCTCAATAACATTTTGCCGAGAGCTTGGAAAACTCCATTTCTTTCCTGCCAGCTCGCCACGATGTCAAACGCCCTCGGGTTAATCGTCCGAGGACGTTTATCCGAGGACTCGCGCAGGCTCCGATCGCGCGAATCGAAAGGCGAATCGGGTCGCCTCGGCTCGGCTAATATCACAGATGAAAGTGAGTTTATACTGTGCGTCCGCATCGGTAAAAGGATGCGCTCGCAGATTGCCTCTCTCCTTTTGCGAGAGGGAGAGCAGCGAACTTCCTCTCCGCCAGTCTTGCGACTAGATGATTTTAAAATTAGCTAGATAGATAAGATGAAAATATGGAAATTTATTTCTTGGATCAGATGAAGATGATTTGGTTTTAAATATATCTAGATAAAATTATATACATGGCGATTCAGCTATAAATAATTTCTAGATAATATTATTTTTAAGACCGCTTATGTAAACACAATTATAAAAACATGTAAATTATAAAAGGGATAAAAATAAATTTAGATTTTTAGTTGTAACTGTTTATCGCTCTAGATAATTTAATAAAGATAACACTTTTTTCATCATCTAAGATACAGATATAAATAATACATATTTTTATTATCTGTATAAAGATAAGATGCCGCAAAAACTTCTATATAATTTTATTTAGATAACAGCAAACACTGGAGCCTAATTTAAAAATTAACTAGATAAAGATGAGATAAAAATATATATCTTAGATCAGATGAAGATGATTTTGTTCTAAATATATCTAAATAAAATCACATATATATGGCGATGCATCTATAAATAATTTCTAGACAATATTAATTTTACGACCACTTATGTAAACACAATTATAACAAAATGTAAATTATAAAAGGGACAAAAATAAATAAATATTTTTATTTCTAAATATTTATCGCTCTAGATAATTTAACAAAGACAGCATTTTTTTTCATCATCTAAGATACCGATATAGCTAATACATATTTCGACCATCTGTATAAAAATAAGATGCCGCGAAGACTTGATCTATAGAATTTGATTTAGCAAACAGCAAGCACTGCAGCCTCTCGCGGCTGATGCTGGGAAGACGAATGGAGGCGTGGGAGAGCTCGTGTCTCATTCACCGGGTAGAGTGCTTACTACGGTGTGCCATTGGTGTACGTCGCATCACGGGAAACGATCGAGAGCTCCGTGGCGCGATTACTTTTACGATTCCTGGACAGCTCTGCTCGGTTACCGATGCTCACGATGCGACGTGATCCTCGCGGCGATTCGCAAAACGTTCCGGAATATCTCCCTGGCCGGAGTATGATAGATATACGTAGTCGCATCGCCTCGAGGGCCTCCGAATCGCGCTTCCGCTATGATTCTTCTGTATCTAAAAGACCGAATGGCTCTTGCCAACGAGAAAACTTGATTTACCGTCTTCTCTGTTTCCGCTCTTTTACAATTCCGCAGGGGAATTTTCGATATTTAATCTCGGAAATTAAATGACAAAGCGAGAGATTCATTTTGTCGCAGCGAAATGTAGGAAGTAGATCTGGAAGAAGATGCTGGAAAATAAGGTGTACGTGGTTTTATATAAACTTCTAATATTTCTTTTTCTCTTTGCGATCCGTCGATTGAACTGACTATTCCTACGTTGGTAGGGACTGTTCTACGCCTTGACATTGAAACGAATACACGGGTCTTTTCATATTGGCCTCGTCGAGAGCCGACGAGAGAAAGTGCGCGTTGCCTCGAGACAGTAAACTGTTTCGTAAGATTTGCATCAATCTTTAGGGACGTCATATCCGAATCGAATTTCGAAGATTGAGACTCTTTATGACTTTTCCATATTGATGAAGATTTTACTTCGCTCATTTCGCGACCGTATTACAATTGTATAAGACTATAAGACAAAGCCTTATTGCGCATTAGTTGGAGGTTCAAGTTAATCTATATTACTATATAACAATAAGAAGAGGAGAAAGCAGTAAAGACTAGATTGGAAAGATTAGCGCTTCAATCACGAGGAGAATGATGACGATTGAAAAGAATATGATTTCTTTCTACTTCCTTCTTCCGCCTCTGGTATTTTCTTTCTTCCTTAAACAGTTTGATATTGCAAATTAGTCTATAAAAATTTAGCGCATTGTTATTTCATCATTATTTGCATTTTTTATATTTCAATTTAGAATTGTTTCAATCTAATCGTTTCAGCTTCGAACCGTCATTTTTTCACTGTAAAGGGTCACATGATTGAAAACTAATATTAATAAGAAAAAATATGCCAACTAAACGAGCAAGAAAATTTGAGATAAATAATAGTTAAAATAATTTTTATTTTAACATATAATTGAAAGATAAACGTTTCGACTGTACTCAGTCTTCTTCAATACAATAAAACATAAAAATACAAAATGTGAAAACATATTAAAATTCCTATTCGTAAGTACGTTGATTACGATGGGCAGATATAAGCATATAATCATATACAATTTTTTAAATGCAAAACCGATGGAATAAAGATACTATGAGAAAATATGGATTTAATAATCGGTTATAAAATTTAAAAACTAAGATAAGTTACATATAATATCCTGAATTAAAATTGATTAAAAATTGGCCGATTTTTTCTGATTAATTTTTGAATTTGCACGAGCCTGATAATTATTAAATCATTAAAAATGAAATTTGAATCAACTTGTATATACGATTTACACGTAATAACGATACGTAATAAACGGCAAAATCCTGGAGGAGAATTCCAGATAAGAATCAGAGAGTCGTGACATCGAAAGTTCATAGCGATGGAACGTACGTCCTGAATGGAGCATCGCGACTAGATGTGGTCTCTCTCGATGAAGCATACATAAATGCTGCGGCACAAATATTCTAAAGAACAAGTATTACGCCACGGTGTTTAATCAACAAATAAATATTTATCTCGCGCTTAAATATTTGGTATTATCTTCATCGTACACTAAATTTGCGGAAGCAAGAGTTATAATAGCCGGAGGACAGACTTAGAGACTCGAGATGAATACGAACGAACATATTCAAAGATAGAATTCCGTTCACGCAATACGCATATAAGATAATGTGAATTATTAGTTAATTTTTATTCCAGTAATTTCACATTTATTTACAATGAGAAAATGTCTTTTGGTAATCAGTTTAATTTCAGATATGATAATCGCGAGAGAAATATGACAATTAATTTCATTGTAGAATATGTAATAATATGTGAAAAATTCGATATAAAAATGTAATAAAATATCATTATTTTAATTTCTTTTTTATATAGAATTGTTGGACGGCATTATAAATAAAATATGCTCAAAGTATTGCGTACACATAATTAATCGCACCAGTGTTCTAAGATTTGCTTCTCTTTTTTTAATTTAATTGGTCACTTGAGACAAAGTAGAATTGATCCGACGTTAATTACGCTTGCGATATAAACGTCCATACAATCAATATTTCTTTATCGAGTTTTCTTAATTATATATATTTCATAATTCGCTGCGTTCTTAGCGTTATATTGTATATTTATTTAATTATATAATACTTTTGCTATTACTGGTACATCTTGTATACTTGGTATAATTGAAGTAATTAATTCGATTTGCACATTAATGTTTAAGTCGGTTATTCCACCTTAATAGTTATTTGAAGATGGTTTAAGTAATTCCAAATAATATACCTTTGTATTTTTTTATGGCCGACCACACAGCTTTCTCCACTACCTTCCTACTCTAATCCCAAAAGATTGCCTAGTTTTTTCGTCACGATCGCGCAATCTTCGCTTCTAATTCTCCCGATCTTAGCTCATCCATTTCGCCTTGCTATATTCGTGTTTATTCATACCGCCCATCTAATCAGTCGGACGAAAAATCTGACAATAGAAAAAGTAAGATTTAATAATGAGAATATTTCGCAAAAACACATTCAAACACGCTTTCATAAGAGATTTCGATCATTTTGTATTATATATATTATATAGATTTATATATATTATTTTATATATATATATATATATATATATTTAAAAAAGGTAAGAATCTTCTCTCGACCGTACTGGCAAATATTATTTATTCAATCATTTGTGATTGAATAAATAATATTTGCAAGTACGGTCGAGAGAAGATTCTTATCTTTTTTAAATTCTGTCTGGCGATTCTCAAATATCTACGTTTTTATATATATTTATTTTATTTATATTTATTTATTTATATTTATATTTATTTATATTTATTTATATTTTATATATATTTATTTTATTTATATTTATATATTATATATATCCGATAATTATATATAATATAAATACATATATTATCGAATACTCTTAGACAACAATCAAATCAAATGCGTTAACAGATACACATTTAATTACTTCGATATAATTAATAATCTTATATAATGAATTACGCTATACAATTAATTATCTTACATAATTAATACAAAATTAATGATCTCGTACACTTATATAGAAGAGCTGATGTTTCGTACATAGGAGCGTTCTGCATGCGATAAACCCGCTGAATGCGACAGTTACGCGATTAACCCGCGTATACATATATATGTAGTGTTCCGCATGTCAGACGCAGAGTGTTGCGGACTGATTGATAATCAACCCCCGAGACTCGCGTCCGTCCGCCGTTTCGGGATCGTCGCTCCTCCGTGGATCAACCGGGCCTGAATGTCGGGCGCCGCTACGCTCTGCGCCGCGCCGCGCCGGCGAAAGAGGGTAGGGATGGAGATCCTGGCGGCATGAGATTCGCGCGCCCCACAGGCGACTCGTCAGTATCGTGCCGCGACTCCCTCGCGACGAGAGAGCGCCCGCTTCAAGTTCGCTTCGGCTCTTCTCGCTGCTCTCGCTCTTTCTCTCTTTTTTCTCTTCTTTCTCTCCCTTTTCCCTTTTTTTCTCCCTTTTTTTTTCATCCCTTCGCTCGCGAAACCGACGCGAACGAGAACGCGCGAGTGCGACGACGTGGGTTTCGCCCTCGTTTTCCCCGGTATCGGAGCCGGTCGCGTGTGTGCTACGATTTTTGGAGATTTAGGGGTCCCGAGGATCCAGGGATAGTGTTGTCACCATCGGCGAACGTTCGACCGGACGCTCGCGGGACTTAACACCAGGTACGAGATCGTCGTAAAAGCTTTTGCTTCGCGTATAAAAATTATTTCCCTCGGGATGTATACGCGTTCCCCATGGAGAACGTGCCGTTGTCATTGATAGTACGCTGCCGTTCTTCTATTTCAAAAGCTTCAATATTTATATACGTATACGTATATTTTTATATCGCACATTCATTCTCCCACGCATTTTAAAACGACGGAGACATTCCCTTTTGAAATACAGAAATAAAAGTAATCGGAGTAAAGAGGAAATAAATGTAGAACTATTTATGTATTGAGTTATTTAATTATTGTAGTATTTTTAAATATATGTTGCAGACTTTTTAATATTCATCTTTTTGCAAAAAGTTTTAAATTTTGGAAAGCATCGAATCGTCGTAGACCAATTTTTTATAGAACCTTCAACTTTTTTTGTAATAAAGTTAGGTTGAATTTACAATTAGCTTGCAACATAAAATGTGCATGTGTGTGTGAGTTTTAATTTTTCGGTCATGTGATTTTAGCAATTAGAGTATATATTTCTCTAAATGTTGCATACATATGCAGAAGAGAATTTCAAAAATAAAATTAAAATATTTGAACAATTATAATAAAATTTAATGACATATAAATTATAAATGCAAAACAATTTTACAAATTCTAACAAAGTTAAAATTTGACAGTTGAAATACACAATAATACTATCCAGAACGCTTGACAATTCTGCTCAAAGTTTAGGATTCTCATTACATTGTTCCATTTATATCTGGAATAATGAAGTCATTATTATATTATATTCGACATCATATTACATTGTGCGGAAACTTCAATATTGATGAAAGTATACAATTTTTCATCTGAACCGAACACTGCCGGTTCGTTCGCTATCATTATTTATCTTAAAAAGAGATCGAAAAAGCGATCCTGTCTTTAAAGTAGCACGTCACTTATATAGAGGAGTTTGCTCCGAAACAGCTGAAACTTGTGAATATCGTATTCGTGTACAAAAACGCAGGAAGAAATTTAATCAAAATTTTTAATAGTGCATTTGACACGAGAGTTTTCTGGCATGTTTAACTGAAGGGTCATCGTCAAGGCAAAGTATTTCCATAACCGGAGATGTAACGCGAACTGACGCGGATCGATGGAGCATTAGTTTACAAGAACGAGAATAAAATTTAACGAGAATAAAGTCCTCTTAACTTTTTCGAGCAAATTTCATTTTTGGCAGTTTCCGTATTTTTGCCGTCAAATAATTTTTTTTTCAACGGAATCTGCGAGAAGTATATCTCTCTACTGCTCTTATTTTATTATTTATTAAATGCAACGAGGCGAATATTTGATATCGCGCTGTTTTTTATAAAATAAAAATAGCCTCGACTATATTTTTTTATGTTTTATTATTGTGAGTAAAATGATAGCTTTTGCACAAAATCGCGTATATGAGCAGAAAATATGTAAATGAAATTTTAATGCAAAACTTTTCTCATGCAAAGCTACGGATTCTGGTAATTAACTTTTACATCATATGAAACAGATTTTAATTGGGAATTATGTTGTATGCAAACAATTGTTGGATAATTTCATCGAGCAGTGCACTCCAACATTTTACCGCTTAATTAGATTTTACTCCAACTTTCCCGAGCCTTATAAACGCATCAGGAGGCATTCCCGTTGAATCGAACAAACTTTGGCGCGTTTCCACGCGTCTCTCTCTCTCTCTCTCTCTCCGCACACAAGCAAAACCCCTTTTATTATTCTCGTCGACATCAGGAAAGGCGCAGTTTTTCAAACGCGCATTTAAATAGCGACCGACCCTGCGGTCCCGACATCAGGAAGAACATTTGTCATTTAACTTTTTATTTATCTCCCTCGGATTATTTCCCGTCGTTAATCTTTGCAATATTGTTAAGCATAATAAAAGTAGATGATGCATTATTCAAATTTTGCATTTTATCGTAATCTCTACTTTTATTTTTTGCAACTTGATTTAGAGTCGAAAATTTAATTAAGCGAATCAATATATTTCGTAAGTCACATGTGAAGTGTTATTAAAAAAAAATAAATGCTGAAAATATCGTGTTAAACTGCAAAGTGTATTAAAGAATTAATCAGCTTTAGGAAGAATTAGAGACAATCTGATACAGAAAAGCACTCGGGTGTTACTCGTAATATTCGATATTTGATATTTCTGTACAATGTATGATATATGAGAGAAAATGTCAGAAACAACTCTTTATTCTCTCCCGTTTATTATATGTAAAACTCGATGTTGAATATCGCGGTGTATCGCGAACTAAGATTAAAGATACGCAACGTAAAGTATAATATCACGTCAACGAGAAACATGGCACGCAGAATATCATTAGCAGTTTGGCATCTGTCGTCAACTCGGTGAAAGATTATTTGCTGTAAGGGTAGTTCTGCGCGATACGAAGGAAATTTCGCTGCTCCATTATCGCACGAACAACCTGACAGATCCTTCTGAAAGCCCTTAGCATTCGCTCCGCCGCCGAACTTCGTGCTTAAATTGGATACAATGTTCAATTTGATATAATGCAATCCTCGTGCTCTTCGCTTACCGATTCTCGCGCGAAACAAATATTCATTTAATTTACGTTAGAGAATTTATCGCGAGAATTTAAGTTTCAACTTCGAATTTAATTGCTACAATTATTTTAGAATATTTTATTATAATTGTCGCGCGTTTACATATAATTGACAGATTAAAGGCCTCTATTCTTCGACAGGCAGAAATAATACGCGAATGCACAATAACTTGGAAGATAGTTGCGCGATGCTAGAAATTTCACTCCCTTGTTATCTAGGCTCTTACATACGTACGAAGCAGACCCAATTTGTGCATGCGATCATGCCGACAAGTTCCCCTCCGATAGCTCTTAACTTTATCATCTACGTTCGCTATAAGGGAGAACGAATTTTCTATTCTGCTATTGACATTTAAAAATATTCTTATACATTGATCCATATATTTTTGCGATATTATATCATTTATAAAGTGTCCAAATTTTCAAGTCTACTATTAAAAAGTATTATTTTCTCTTGTACGAAAAAGAAAACTGTTGAACAATTATTTGACAAATGAATCGTGAGAGTACGAACTTTATATAAGATTTCTAAAACAAATATGATAAATGTACTGTTTATGCATTACATTGCAATACAATAAGTCTAATTAGGGCCCGGAGACTTTGATTATGAAAATAAACCCCCTTGCTAAATTCGATGTCGGGCGTAACGATATATTAAAGGCGCAAGACGCCTCTAGGTCGAATCCGTCGAGGTCGCCATAATTAATTAATCTTCTCTGGCTAATTAATTCGCGCTCGCCGACCAGGTGAATACGGCGCGCACAATGCGATGTCAAACAAAGTGGCGGATTGTTAAGCAACGCGTCATAACGAAATATGTGTGTATGACCCATTTTTGCACGCGAACTTCCAGGCACGCGAGATCTGTGGAAATCTCGCCCGAGGTTCGCGATCTTCTCTCTCTATCTCTATCTCGCTCCTCATCCCCCTTCGTGTCTTGGGCCGACAAAAACGTGGCGCAAAAGAGTCTCTCACGCTGTGTGGCCAACATCAGGTGTAATTATTATATACGCGAATGTAATCGCACGTCTCTCGTCCGGCACGCTCGAATACGCGAGCTTCTCTCGAGATGGTTCTTCTCTGTGTATATTAATAAAGCAATCAAATTTCTTCGTCTCGTTAATTCCCGCTCGCGGCTGGATTCGCAAACGTGTTTCTATTTCTGCGCCGAGAGCAAGCTCTATATTGGATTTATTTCGCTCGTATGATTCGTTTCGAGTCCTCCGCCTGCAACGTCAAATTATTTTTAACTTATTAAATTACGTTCGAAAGTGAGAGATTTTTTTTCGTAAAAATTTGAAACTACAAGTATCCGAGAAACGTAAAGCGAACGTTGTTCTGTTATTTTCATTCAATTATTTTGCTTTCGATTTTTTGCCAGCCTTCCCCATTGTAGCTTTTCTCTTTTCCTTTTACTAAAAGATCAACGTCAAACTGACACGTGCACATATATAGAATGGAAATGCGAGTTTTGACTTTTTAAAAAAACAGCATACTTTATTTTATCCGGTAAATGTACAAAATGTTTCGTTTTTATTAATAATTACATTTTATCATTAATTATTATTCTCTCTCAGATTTCACATCTTGCTATTCGAGAAATTTTGTTATTCATAAAGAGTCATAAAGTTACAGAGCTGAAAGAGCAAAAGTATTATCATTCTACGTAGAGATTTATATTTTTGCATTAAATTAAAATGATATAGTTTAATCGCGAGTGGAAGAAGAAAAACGAGGAAGAGAGGAAGCAATTGTTTCCTCCCATTTGTCTTTACAACTGTCATTTGTACACAAGTAGTTTCTAATTATTACCTCTGATTGATCCTGACAGCATCGATTCACTTGCCATCAGAACGGCACGGCTCCAGATTAGATCCGAATTACAGTGATTAGTCCCGGATTCAATTGTAACCTAGTTTCAAAGTATGTGACATCTACAAAAACTATAAATCTTGAAGAGGTTTATACAGTAATACGATTAAATCGGCCGTTTAATCAGAAACAGCGAGAAATCGATTGCGCGGAGCTACGATTAATGCGATCAACGAGTGAAAATAAATCTGTCGGATATTCGTAACATCGGTGATAAATCCGTGTGTTTCTATATCGAAAGTAAATGATTCACGATATACATGTATGCATATATACACGGTGAATTGCTAATACGTCAATTTATTCAATTTTGTTTTGACGTAAAATTGCGCTGCGATTCGAAATCACAAAAATTTCAAAAGTGATGATAAATACAAATATGGTAAACGCATATTCTGTATATTATGAAAAATTTTTTAATTATGAGAAAAAAGTGAATGTATGAAGAGCACAATTAATTTCGCGATTTAATACTTTCTATCTGAAATAAATAATAAAATATAAAATAATAAAATAATAAAATATGTGTCTATATAG